CTAAATTTGGTTATAAATAAATTTCTTAATAATATCACTGCAGATTTTCAATAACACATGAAAATGAATACATAATATTACAAAAGATGTGAGCTTTCAAAAGTACAAGATTTTGGTTACTATTCAAAATATAAGTGTTTCTTCAAAATTTTAAATTTATTTTTTCTAGAACATATTTAGAAACACTATCCTTTATAAAAAATATATAAATTTTATGTATTAATTAAATTTCACATATGAATATAGGTTTTTGACATTTTCGACATTTTTGACAGTGAGGTTTTTGACGTGACGGTTTAAACTGTCAAAAACTGTCACATGTCAAAAACCTGCCAACCCTGGTTATATACAATCATTTCTGTACAATATTTTTAATTATTATCATTATTTTTTTTTTTTTTAAAAAAAGCTCATTTTACCAAGATTTGTATAAATAGTATCAAGTAAAAAAATGCAAATATCACCTTTCTCAAATACGAGCCCTTTAGATTTTCTTGTAACCTTTCGTCCAGAGTAGGTTTCATCAATGTCTTCTAGCAATGGTGCTGTTCTGCTTCTTAATTTGCTTCTTTGAAATAAGTTTTTATGCTCGTTTTCAAATTGGGCTGGTAATGATTCTATGGAGAGAAAAAAAAATTAAACTAAAAATGGAAAGCAAAGAGTCAGTGGATGCGGAATTATTTATATAATATATCAAGGCTATAGTGGAAAGTGATATAAGAATTCCACAGAAAGCATTTTAAAATATTGTCTGTAAGTGAACAGATGAGTCCTGTACAGTATAGTGGCAGTTATGATAGCAAGTTATTACAAATGAAAAGGTAATTGCCTATCCATTTATCGAAAATAATATGCTAAATAGATTGTCATCAACTTTTATTTAAACGCTTGTCTTCAACCACAGAACAATTTATTGCAATAACTTTATCTATCAACACTCACAACATGTCTACAACCTGAGTCTTGCAACTGGTGGAGAGAGTAACCGACAGGAAACATATTTACAAGCATATACGATAGAATCAGCGCATCAGAAAGTAATAAATCAAATTTATGATCTAAAATTTTTGATATTTTTTTTCATTTGCTTTTTCACATCATTCAGAAGAGCTCTCGAGGGCTGCACAGTAACAGTCCTCACGTGGTTTGCGGGTTGTGCACCTCTACTTAAAGCCAATTTGTCTTCAATTACCTTTAAGAAATCTCGCAGATAGCAATATCCCTTTTTCATTCTAGATTTCAGTGTTGATATTATGTGTTAGATTCATTCTTGATAAAGCTAATGTAGTCATTTTATGAATCACTTGTATAGAGAGATTTTATAATAAATATTGAAATGAAGTATTTCCGTATTGTTATTTGCATCAAAATAATTGAGGGAAGATTTCTGTTTTATGATCTTAACCAAAAAAATCAACAAGTTTGGCAAGTTCCATGCAGTGGTCTGCAAGAAATTAATAAAAATATCAAAAAGGAGAATACTTGTAGAATACAATACTTGCAGCCATCCCAAGAAAACCTCTACAAGTTTTTAATTAATAAGTTTAAAATTTGGCACCTTGGCAAAGTGTAACTGGCTCTAACAGATAACGATACGGAAGTATCCCTTTAATCATGAAGGTGATGGCAGGCAGGGAACTTTAAAAAAATCAGATAATGTAGTTAACTAAAAAGGCAAAACTCATAGCCAGGGAAGATGGGGTTGTGCCAACTACAACCAAGGCGACTAATACCTTCAAAACTAGCAAATTAGTTTTAAAAAGAACATGTAGAGGTTTGACTGGGTTGGATACGAGTTGTGCCCTTCAAGTTGGACTTCTTCTGTGTTTTTTTTTCTTTAAGTTTTTCTTTTGCTTTCCGCAGCCAAATAACTTGATTGTGATTCTTGAAGTGATGATTCTGCCACGGTCAAGATTCCTGGTAAGAATAATCGCCAAAAACAAATTAATACAAAAAAGGCTGTGTCAAAAGGTACAACTTGTAGTTAACCCGGGCATGCCTACATGTTTTTTAAGTTAAAAACCGAGGCGCAATAAGGAAATTTCCCCGGCGTCTGGCAAAAAAGTGCAAACATGAACCTTTATAAAAATATTCCAAAATTTCAATATATTACCTGTATACTCATGGTCATCTATATCCGAAAATTGCGGAGTTGGATTGGAAAGTTTTGCTATTTCCACACCTATAGAAGACATTTTTTAAATTAACAATAACGAAAATAACCCTTTTCGTTCAACAAAAATATAAATATGCATAGATTTTTGCTCTTAATAAAAAAAAAAAAAAACTGCACGCGAAAAATACAATGTAAACTGGATGTAAAATGTTGTTGATGAAAACAAACAAAACGAATATTTGGCTTATTTTTGTCCATTACAAGCACTCACAGGTATCTCTTAAGGTTCGTTCACTTTGCATGTGACTCACGCACCTTCGATTCGTTAAAAGAAAAGGAGAACCACAGTTTTTGGCAGGGAAGTATATTTCACCAATCAGGTTCTCCTTCCACTTTCCCTCGAGATCAGTACGAAAATCATATGCATTGAGAATGGGCATAACTTATCACGTGGCTGTCAAGCCTCTTTGTTTCAGTCTTTACGAAAAACAGAAATAGGTAGCCTATAGCGGTTACGCATAAATTAAATTAAATAAGCTAAGCAGTTATTTCGAAGTTTTACCATTGTTATGCAAATTTCATTAAGTAAATCATGGATAATTATGAACAAATTCCAGAAGACGTTAAGCAAGAAATGTTAAAGTTGTGGGAAACATGTTCAAAAAATGAGTTGATTAATAAACTGAGATCTTTAAGAGGGTCACCTGAAAAAAATCTTGTTCAGTGTGGGACTGATACAAATTCAAAAGACTTTCCAAATCAACATAATTTTCCTGAAACAGTTAATGCTATAAATGATGCTTTAGTTAATACCCATAATAAAGAGCAAAACTATGATAACAATATTTCTTCCCAATCCAAGGACAACTCTTTATTCCTTGAAATTAACCAACACTCTCATCCTGTGAATAATTCTGATTCATTTAACTCTGAAGAAAATGGTACTTTTGACTACGATAGCATTAAGAGTAATCCTTTGTTTAATCCTCTTGTACTTCTTCAGAAGATTGATTTGACAAAGATTAACAATGAAATTTCTGGAGCACCAAATTTTATAACTGAAGGTAAAAGTCAGCAAGATGTTGGTTTGTACGATTCATCAACAAATAAAATAAATGGTGAAAAAAAGAAATTGGTGCGCACTAAAACTAGTAAAAACATATCAATAAATGCTTCAGATAAAGGTCTGTATAAGTTGGAAGCTGACAAGTCTGTGGGAAAAGTGAGTAAGATTTCACATAAAGCTAACAGAAAATCAAATAATTATCTGCAGAAAGACAATCAATCTAGCAAACTAGAAGTAACTCCTCTTAATGAGGGATCTGATATTAAATCGCCAAATAAAAAAACAACCAGTGCTTCAAAAAAGTCAATCCTAAAAAAAAAAGTGGACACTAATGTAAATATGACAGTTACTGATCCATCTACAGCTGATTCTAACAAGAATTCTGCCCCTGATAAAAACAAAAATGTTGGTATAGAGCAGCCTGCCAAAAAGAAGAGTGTTAAATCGTTAAGAAGTAATAAAATTGAAGAGTCTTGTGATTCTATGCTCCCCTCTCCTAAAGAAGATCACCCCAATAAAGAGTTGGATTTTAACTCTGAAATAAATGGCATAAAGGAAGTTAAAAGGAAAAAAATTAATGATCATAAGAAAAACGTTGATACTAACATCACTAAAAAATCTAGAATAAAGAAACCCTTGCAGAAGAATTTAAAATTAATTTCAAATGCTGATATTGAGAAACAACCTACGGCCTTAAGTGACAATGTTACAGATGAAGTAAATCTCTGTTTAAGTAGTAAAATTTCTCCAAGTAATCATATCAAAGTTTCAAAATATGCTGACAGTGAAAACATAAATTCAACTGAATTAAACTTTAATGAGGGAGCTACGCCCACAAGAGCCAGATCTTTGAGGAAAAGAAAAAATAATGGACGTTTGTCAAATAGTGAAATTGCATCAAATCTGGAGCAGAATGTTTTAAAGAATATCGCACATAGTTCTGATGTGGAAATCAAGAAACAACATTCAACTTTTAATGTTCGAAATGTAGATGAGGGTTTAGTTAATAAAATTTCTTTAAATGATAAGGTACCAGTTTTTGTGTCTCCCGCTGTTCCAATGCAATCTACTTCTGATGACCATGTGTCTGTCACAAAATCTGCATCTTTGAAAAAAATGAACAATGAAAGTTTGTCAAAGAGTGAAACAGTATCAGGTTTGGGAGAAAATGTTTTAAAGAGAAAGACATTTAGTTGTTCTAGTGCTGAAACTAAGAAAGGGCCTTCAACTTTTAATTTTATGAATGTAGATCAGGATTCAGTGAGAAAAATAACCTCAAACGGTAATAAGACTGTTTTTGTGCTTCCTGCAATTTCAATACAATCTACTTCTGCTGATCAAGTTTCTGTCACAAACTCAACGCTTTTGAAAAAAATGAGCAATGAAAGTTTGCCAAATAGTGAAACTGTTTCAAGTTTGAAACAGAATATTTTAAAGAAAAAGACATCCAGTTGTTCCAATGTTGGCAATGTAGGAGAATGCCAAAACGAAGATGATACTATAAAATCAAATTCGACTATTGTCCAAAATACGGAAGATTCGATTTTAACCTCTAAATTACGAGAAAAACTTAAAGCTAGTGAGGAAGTTAAAAGATGTAAGAGTTCAGATGAAATGCAACAAAATGCGGAAAACTATTCTAAGTTGAGCAAATTATGTTCAGCACATGGCTTAAACTTGGATGATATTTTTCGTAGGAAAGAGGTACAAGAAATGTTGGAAAAATTCAAAAATAATACTGAAGCTATTGTTTTCCTTGGCACTCACAAATGTCAATCAACTGGAAAAATTGAACCAACTGTGCATGTTCACAAGTCCAAGAAAATTTTATTAGAAACTTTAGCAGCAATCCAAAATAAGAATGGTGTCCAGAATCCAAATTCAGCTAATGATTCTATTTTAAATAAGTGCTAAAGCTAAATTTATGCCTTTATTTAGAAACTTCTTTATGTAATGTTGCATCTCTTCTTTACAGTAATAGAAACTTTTAAAACTATAAGATGTGCAATATTGCATAGTTCTAAGTTAGGTTAATATTCACAGTTCCAAACTATCGTAAACTTTTTTTGAAGAGAAAATTAAAGAAGTTTTTTCAATTTTATTTGATTATAACCATTGACTATAATTATTTACGTAATCCCCAGTGTTAGTCACAGATTTTTCTAATTTTTATGCTGTGACAGTTTGCCTAATGTTGAAAAGGCTGAGATAATTTAATTTAAATCATGAGATTTAAGCAAAATGTATGAAAATTGAAAGAGAATTATCAGTCGGACAAAATAAATAAAAAGATAAGTTTCCTTTTATTAGTGTTGACATAATTATCATGTATGCTGTTGTATAATGATCAATTGTACTAAATTTTATATTATTAACTATTCTTTCCTTTTCATGTGTATTAATAAAAATTATTTGGTTACATAATTTATACATGTTACATAAATTGCTATTTGCATTAGATGTCTTGCAATCTGGAAAAGTTGGGGTAAATTTTTAAAAAGAGCCAGGAAAATTTTTAATTTGAAGAAATTTTAAATTGCTGGGCGAAGGATATGATTTTTGTTACTCTACCTACGTATTTTAAATCTTCTTCTTAATATTTTTTTAATTTCTGTTTTCTTTTTTTTTCTATACATTTTTTAAATTTTTTGGAAGAAACTAATTTATTTTTTATTCAAATAAATTTATCCTCTCATCCTTCCTTATAACCAAAGAGAAAAAAAAATGCCCTGATTTTGTAGATAATAAAAAAATGTGTATAGTTAAGTTTGTTTCTTAAATCTGTGCATAAGTATTTCTGTATTATATGATGAAAAATGTAAATAAAAGCATATAAATGTGTATAAATAATTAAAAAAACATGTATAGTTAAGTTTCTTTCTTAAATTTGTGCATATTTAGTAAAAGTGTTTCTGTATTATATGATGATAAATATACATGATAAAAATATTTGTTATCCTGTGCATTAGTCCCCAACTTCTTTAAACTGGCAGCCTTTATTCTGTGCAAATAATTTGAGAAAATTAGAAAGATTAAATCTTATTTGTGTAACATTGGATTGGAATGAATGAAATAGAGAGGAGAAATAATGAAAAGTGTGTTTAAATAAAGAAAAGTTATCTTTTTACGGTACATATAAGTGCCTATAAGTACTTTATATAAGTACTTTATAAATGCCCTTTATTTCTAATATGTATATATATCATGTATGTAGTGCTACCAGAAAAGTGCACTGTATTCTATATTTTTTTTCTTTATGTGCCTGCTAGTTAAAATCATTGGTTTAAAACTTACATAATTTATCTATGTAACATTAGGAATATGAAATACAGCCCAGGGTTAAATTGTGATATTTGAATAATCAATGGGTAATTTGTTGCCTTCTTGCCAAAATTTAATTTAGAAACTGCATAAGAAAATTTAGTTCAATTTTATAAACTTTAAAAAAAAATCAAAAATATATTAAAATTCTAAAAATTATGCTCACTAGTTCAAGGTGTAAAGCGATTAAAATCATTTGACATTAAATTTTATTTTTAGTAGAAGGTTTTGTTTTGAATATTTATTAGATAACAAAAATGTTTTGTAACCAATATTAAAAAATATATCTATATTAAAGGATTAATTAAAAATTAAATAGTATTTTTAGAAATTATGTACTGTAAAAAGGTAATAAAATTGTTTTTTTTTCACTGAGAATTTGAAAAACCTACTTTAATTTTTTTAAAGAAGATGAAATGTGCAAAATTTCTGTCTAAAATTTTTAGAAGTGTACTTTATAGAAATTGTTGTACGTTGTCTTTTAATTGTCTTATTTTGATGATTATATATATATTACTTGAAGGAATGTTTTAATTACTATCATTGTCAAAACTAAATACATTCTAGTTTCTAACTGTCAATTTTTCTCCTTTGGTCCACTTCTGAAAAAGATTATGCACTCTTTGTTACATGAATCAATATTTGCACAATCAAACAAAACTTTTATTAAAAGTTATCAAGTATTAAAGCAACTGGGAAAACAACTTAAAAATAAATTTTGTTTATTGAAATATTTTTGCAAAATACAAACAAAAATTATATTTAACCTATTTGCATTATGATGTTATATTACAATCACAACTTTATCTGTTGTACTTAAACTAAGTTTCATTTCTTTTACTCCACAGTCAACTGCAAATTTTAAATTATGCATTAAAGAATTTATTTCATGAATGTTATATAATAAGAAAATTTCATTTTCTATTATACTGAAATTTAATAATTTTTAAATATTTATAATTGGTTTTGTTAATTTTATTCCCAGATATTGTTTAATTCATTGATCTAAAATATCTATATTTTCTGTTTATTAAAATAATTTTTTGTATGCATAAATAAATAAAAATCTGAATTGTATTGAGTCTGGAAAACTCTTTTTACCCTTAATGGAGATTCTACTTTTATATAACTGTTTATAATTTGAGAATATGCATTTTTTATAATTATATAATTTTTGTATTATCTGTAATATGTAGTATTCTTTTTTTCTGCTTATTCAATCTATATACATTGTTAAATTTTGTTATAGTTATAATTTCATCAATTGAACTCAAATTAAGTTCACTTTTTACAATGCACAGTATCTGTACATTTTATGCATTAAAAAAGTTATTTTATGAATGTTGCATAAATGAATGCATAAAATAAAATTTTCATTTTTCATCATACTTAAAATATATTAAATTTTTAAACATTTTATATTGATTGTGTTAATTTCATTCCTAATTATTGTTGATTAAACAATATTGATTGGAAATACTGTAAATATTTTTGGTTTATTAAAATCATTTTATTATTTAGATACATAATTAATTGAAAAACTGAAATGTTTTGTGGGAGAAAAAATCTTTTTACTGCTAGTAGTTGGGAAAGTTTCATCTTTTTATAATTTGAGAATAAGCAATTTTTTTCTTGTTATCATTTAGTATATAATTAGGTACTAATTTTATTATATTTAGTGATTATTTTTCCCTCTACTCAGTCAATTTAGATTATTTTGCCATGATCTAGTTTTAACTTCATCAATTTAACTAAGTTTTATTACAATGCACAGATATTTGCAAATTTTATTTTATACATTAAAGAATTTATTTTATGAATCCTGTGTTTTATTTTACATTAAACATAAAATGTACTAGTTTTTAAAAATTTTTCACTAATTATGGTAATTGCATTTCTAGTTATTATTTAAGCCATTGATCTAAAATATTGACAATATTTTCTGATTATTAAAGTATATACATAATTAAATAAAAACTGATTTGTAATATGTGAAATAGTTCTTATTATTGATACTCAAGATTCCACCTTTTTATATCTGCCCGTAGTTTAAGAATCTGTATTTTATTTATTGGTATCATTGCATAAAATGTTATATTAGTGCAAATTTAAGGCAAATTTTATTGACAGTGATAAGTCAATCTCAGTAGCCTCTGTAGGGAAAGAAAGATACATTATCAGTTATAGGTTAGATTTAATATTAATAGTGTTTCAGTAATCCTAATGGAATTTATTTTATTTCTTTTTTTTAATTTTTTTATTTCAATAGGAAAAGACCGTAATTTGATATTTAAAGGGAAAATATAAGAATATATTTGTCAGCAACATTGTAAGATGAAAGGCAATATTGTCCCAATAACTTCTTTTGCATTCATTCTATCTTTCTTCTTCTACAAACAACATGCAAAATATTCTACTTTACTTTGATATGCTTTTAAGTACAGATTTATAAATACTGTTTAAATATAAATAATATTTAGAACGGAATATAATTTTTAAGGCATATATTTTAAGTTTATTTTAAAAAAAAGTTGGGAAAGATTTGAAGAAAAATTCCTATTAAAGTAGATTTTTTACTAAATTTGCTGCTTGCCTGTGTATTTAAATAAGTATTACTTCTAAATAATGAAGTAAGCCTAATTTATAGTAATCAGTTTGATTATTATTCTTTTTTTTAAATATTCTTAAGAGTTTTTTTCTAATTCTGATTTCTTTATTTTTTAAAATTTACAAAAATATGTTATAATTATTTAAAGTTAATTTATTATCTATTACAATTCAAAGTTAAAAATTTAAAACTAATTAGAGCATGTTATATTCAAGTTATTACAATATTAGTTATAAATTTGAAATATTGTTGTCAATCTATCTGTTATTGTAGTAATTTTTTTTTTACTGGTAAAATCCCTATTTATCCCCTGTCATTAAAATATTTTAGATAATGTGTCACAATGAGCATAAAATTTATAATTCGCAAAATCGACTTTACTTTCATATCGGCAGCTATGAATACTGTATTATAATTTTATACTTAAATTTTTTGGTATTTATCAAATTAGTTATCACTAGATACAATTAAATTGTGCAATATCTCTGAAAAGTAAATAAATAAGGAATTTCCTCTATTAAAAAGGATGAAATTGTTCACACATTTTTAAACCTATTTTCTCCCCTTGAAAATTGTAAATCGTAAGATTAACATGGATTTAATTCTTTAAGGTGCTAAACTGATACTCTATATATTTTCGTTTAACTAAAAATTTTATAAATCATGTAATTTAAGTTTTTTTATAATTTATGGAAAAACAACCATTTAAAAAATTAAACATATGTAACACATTTGTACAGATTAAGGATTAATATAATATTGATTGTGCCATTGCTAATTATAAAAAGAATGTTGAATATAAACATATGATACAAGCACACACAAGAAATAGTGCAGAAGAGTACCTTAAGATTAAAAGTCTGAAATTGCAGTATTTTTACTTTATTGAAAAAAAGGTTTTAAGGCAAACATTTTCGTGACAATAAAAAAGAAAATTCGGACACAAGGTTGCTGTAAGGCTACATGCTATCTGGGTGATAAAAATAATAAAGCAAAGAAACTATGGTAGCATAGCAATATTTGGTGATCGTAACTGTTGAACATGTTGAGAGACATTTTATGGGGAGTTTAAGAAAATCCATTTCAGAATGTGTAAAAACAATAAGATGCTATTTGCAAATCATTTTTATCTTAAAAAGGCTCGTAAGTCACATATTTGGTAGAATGAAACAATTTCGTAAAAAATGAATCGTACAATATTCTTAAACATAAATATTTCATTCTTTTTAAAATGTCTCATAACATTCACTAATTTCCTCAATTATATATATATATATATATATATATATTCAAAAAAGGGAGAAATTTTCAGGTATCAATTATAATAACGTAATCAAACTTTCCAAAAAAAAAAAAATATGATATTAATTTTTCTGGAAAAAAAAAGTCTGAGTTAACTGGAGAAAAAA